CTAATTGGATACGAGACACACTTTTATGACGTGCAGGCAACATCAACAGAAATGTTTGGCGTGAAATGACACGCCAAAAATACAATATAAGATAGCTATACTGCTAGGACCCATTGTATGTTCCTGTAACTCTGCTAGATTTGTTTTGAGAATGGCGCGATAGTTTCGTGGATAAATCCACTTATATGTGAATCCCTCGGAGGGGCGGATCCAAGCAAAACTGGAGGCTGGCTTTGTAGCCAGCCTCCAGCGCGATGTCTCCTTGCACGCACTCACAGATTTGGCTATCTTGGCGTCTCGAGCTTCAGCTTTCTTGTTTACCTTCCATATTTCGAGCAGGCGGTTTGTGATGATTACGTCTACGACATCGCTCGCCTTGTCAAAGTGTTCGACATTGATTGCAGCAGCGATGAGTATGATTGCTATCAAGAGATGTTGAAAGCTGTTCATTTTGACTGCGACCCGCTGGTGACAAACTCCAGTGACGGCGAGTTACGGACGAACTCGTTGTGGTCACTGTCGCCCGGGATTATCTCGCAGGCGCATGCAGGGTGGAAGGTCAACGGGCCGGCGGCGAGAGCGAGAAAAACATTTGGGTTACCGAGTTGCGCGAGCGGTTTTGATCGTACCGCGGCAAGGAGAGCTTGGGCGATCATGGGGGCCCCTAGAATGAGAGATCGTTCATGGTCACATGCTTTATGGGCACCATGATGTGACTAACTTGGGCAGTGTTGCCTGGTCGCCAGATGAAAATGATACAAATTCGTAAATTGAATAGTGCAATTACTAGAGCTCTAAAATTAAGTAACTTGGTGTATATACTAAGTAGTCTTTGAGCAATCCATTTCAAGAATAAGACATCCGTTTATTTTTCGTGTCATAACCCCTTTAAGTCACTGCAGACTCCGCTGTCCACTTATGGCCGATTCACATGATGAACTTATCCGCAGATAAATTGATCAAGTGACAAGACGTCCACGGAACATCAGTCCCCCAAGCACATCCATACGGAGGAGACGAGCAGATGACAGCGAGGACAAACTGAACCTATTCCCGGCCCTGCATCATCGCTCTGTGGCACAGTTTTCCAAGGTCAGGAGTGATGTTTGCGACTACGATCACTGTGCTATTATGAAAAAGTATCGTGTGCTGCTGTTACATACCGAGCGAGACAAAGCATGATGACAATAAACACGGAAAATACAATTTTACGCGACCCCTGGTGAGCGTCGTGGAAAGCTCGCTTTGTGACGTGCGCATTCTCATTCGCCTCAAAAGACAGACGGAGCCAAGCCAAGCCAGAGGCTAAGCCGGGTGGCGTTTGTTATTGTTAGTACGGTAACAACGCGGGCTCTGCCCGCTTGGTACTAGTACCAGCCGCTTTGAGAACAGCCGCCGAGCGAAGAATCAAGGCGAGCACCAACGAACGAGGAGAATGCGCGGAGGCACCAGGGGCGCTGGGGGCGCCGAGAATGCGCACGTCAGTTCCGCTACGCCTGCTCTCAGAAGGACTCGCTCGCGTCGGCGGCTTCCGGCCGAGGATTCGCTCTTAATTCAAAGAAATACAATAATTCGGGCCCCATCCGTCGGATTGCATATGGTTTTTAGGTACAGTACCATCCCGTGAAGCCCGCTCGGGCAATAATTATGAGATTTCAAATATCGGTTCAGCATCCCTTTAAGAAAGGTCTTGGCTGGGTTGAAAACTGGGTGGACATGCAGGGAAGCTTGCAGCTTCCTAGGCAAGTTTTCACTGAAGCTTTTTGACACCAACCCGGAGGAGTATCGGAACCTGCGGCTTGTCGGCTGGGCAAAGTTCTTGCAGCTTCTTTCACGAGTGGAAAATAAGAATGGTTCGACAAAATGAAACAGCGAATGGACAAAGTACAGTGCGCTATCTTTGTTTGGCTCATTCGAAAACCAAAAATATTGCTGTGCTGTTGGTTCTCTATTGTAAACGCTTTTACTGTTACTCACCCGCTAAAAATCTGGGCATGGAAGGGCACTTTGTCCTTAAGTCTGGGCGTCTGCTGACGAGGTGCAAATCGGAGGAATAGCCGACATGATGGTAACGTGACAAACGGTCCACGGATGAAAATTGTGATTCAATCCATCGCGTGAATCTGCCATTATTTGACAATTGTCCTAATATGATTAATTGGTCCCTATTAAAAAAGAACAATTGTTCTCTGAAACAATGTAATGAAAGGAAGTTTTTATAAACAATGCCTGCTCCTTAGACAACAGAATAGTATGAGCCTTGGTATAACAGGAACTTTCCGTAGATCAGACATACGTTTATTCCATGCTCAAAGTAAAGACATGAGTTTGTCTTGGCAATGCCAACCTCCTGTGTATGATCTGTAAAAAGTCCTTAATGACCGTAGTCAAGGGAGAGGAGTTTCTGCTTTCAAGAACAGGATGGGGTGATAGAAAAAGTGTCTCGATGAACAATGAATGCTCCAGCTTATCCACTCAGCCAAGTTTTTGCAACATGAACTAGGCTCTAAGAGAAAGACGTAGGATAAGAACTTCGAAATCTTTAGGATTTGCCAAGGGATGAAATTAATTAAATGCACAAAAAAGTAGGGGGAGGAGGATGGCAAGAAAATTTTGGGGCTTGTGTTCTTACACTTGAATTGTTTGTGCAGGGACCATTACTGAAGCAGCACTTCATTCCTGAGGCAATAATTTATTGCTAGTCAAAGCCTGTTTCCAGTAATGCACATCAGGTGAGCGGCTTTTTTTTTTTTTTTCTCTTAAACATGAGGTGCTTTTTAACGTTGCCCTCCAATCCCAAAATGTTGTCCATCCGTCCGTGCGCTTTGCCGCTAAATTTAGTGGGGACATTTTTATTGCGTGACCTTTACACAAGTTCAGTTTCCTCTCTAAATTTAGCAGAAAATTGATGTCACAGGACCTACAGACAATTTCAAGCTCTCTGATAAATTTAGCGGAAAAATGGATGTCACGTGAACTATGCAGCAACTCAGTTTTCCCTCTAAATTTAGCGGAAAAATTGATGTCATCTGACCTATGCACAAATTCAGTTCCCCTGCTAAATTTGGTGGGAAAATTGATTTCACATGATCTGACGTCATGTGACCTACAGACAAATTCAGGTTACCTGCTAGATTTAGCGGAAAAATTGATTTCACGGAACCTATACACCAATTCAGTTTCCCCACCAAATTTGGCAGAAAAATTTATATTGCGTGATCTGACATCATGTGACCTAGAGACAAAGTAAGGTTCCCGCTAAATTTAGCAGAGCGATTTATGTTACGTGACCTTTGCACCAATTCAGCTTTCCCACTAAATTGAAAGGTGGTAACTCTCGGTGACTGGAAATATGGTGCACATGATGTTTTGATCACGGTCATGCAACATCATGGTGGAAGATACATAAAGATATAGAAGATATAAAAAGCATGCACGACCAACAGAACGATTGACATAATCCGAGCGCTGGGAATCTTCCATGGAAGCGATCTGACTTTGTTTGAGAAAAACAGAAATCAAGTGGCACAATAGTTTCTTAAATCTTCTTGCATAACCATAATCGAAACATTTTGTGCACCATAACCATGAAGAGGTACTGCATTTAACCCTTATGCACTTATTAAAACTGTTTCTCACTACCACGGCTAGGAGATTCTTTTCGGCTTCTGGTTGGCCAAGAAATCTTGTCAAGCCCTCTATTTGCGTCCCGGTGTTAGGCATCTGCATTGCCCTAACTTCGTTTGCGCTTTCTTCTTTGTTCTAAACTCCCAAACTTAATTCGAGCAACGGGCATCGATGGCGACAGTCCCTCGGTCATCGGGACAGCATTGCTCGGTTTTAGGGTACACGAATAACGACAGAAAGCGTTGAATACTGTCTGAGGACCTATGTATCTTGCACGGATTTTGGCAATGTGAGTGCGGCTGTTTCTACATGACCCCAATCTCCGGTGGCAGTGGTTTGCTTCCGTAAACTGAAAAGACTTTTCTTCAACGCCATCCTCTCGACCGTGCTTGTAACATTTTGTGAATGGAGCGCACACCGAACTTAACGCTGTACCGTCGATGAACATGGGGTACGCTCGCAAGGTGCGTGCAAGTTTTCTCGAGATAATTGCTGCTTCAGCTTGTAACATTCTCTAACTGAATTTATCTTAATATTTCCGCCGCCGGGTGTGGCTGAAAACTGTCGAAAAGCTTGTTCTATTGGTCTTCCTGAATCACGATCTCCTGAGCAATACCAGAGAGCCATGAGCCTACGTTGACCGTCACAATGCGACTAGATTCTTATTTTAAAAATTAGTACATAATGTAGCCGGGAAGAAGCCTTCAATTTCTGTTGCTGAAAGTTGAAATATGCTCATGCATCAATTTCGAATCGTTGAATCATTGACCGACTCGCTCCGGCAAAAGGCCCATCTCGACTTTGCTGTTTTCAGTTCTCGACAAAAGACACACTCGTTGGCACGGGATCCTCAAATAAAACGTTTATAAACACCGATGCATGAGCATGTTTCTATGTTTATAAACAGTGATGCATGAGCATGTTTCAACTTTAAGCAACAGAAATTGAAGGTTTCATTCCAGCTACATTATGTACTAATTTTGAAAATAAGAAGAATCTAGTCGCATTCTGACGGCCAGCATGGGCTCATGTCTCTCTGGTATTGCGCAGGAGATTGGGATTCAGGCAAAGCAATAGAACTAACTTTTTGACAATCGCTAGCCACACCTGGCGACGAAAATCGGCCTTCAACTAAGTGCTGTAGATAATAAAATTGAGTCAATGTCACCACTTCGAAATATCTATATTAACCCTCTAATGCCCAAAGATTTGTGCAACATTGAAAACATGCAGTAAATACGATTTCATGCTCAAAATACGTGCCCAGTTTCACCGAAAGCAATTTTTATTTTATTTGCACATTATTTTCCCATGATACAGCTCGTATCATCAATGATACAGCGGGCATTACTCCCAAAACAATAATGGCATTTTCACATGTGGTAGGCAACAAAGCAATTACGATCCTTTGTGTAGCATAGGTTTACGTTACACTTGCAACAGTAGGTGTAGGAAAAGCTGTTCTGCGCTGACTTGCATCGCAGCCTGCTGCTGCCCCAGATGGGCATGTGACCGACACCATCCAGCCGCACATCATCCTGGGGAGCACTTCCACCGACTTTGCGCTTCTTCATAGGCGGAGTCACTGAAGATGTTGGCCGCTTGACTGGTTTCTTTCCCACCGCGATAAGGGACTCCGCGATGCTTGCCTGAAATCGCCGGAGGTTGACAGGCTTCTCGTTCAACTGGGAGCAGTGCCGCCGGTACAGAAGCCAAGCATTCACTGTAGCAATCATCAGGCTGTGATAAAATAGGTAAAGATACCATCTGCGAGACTTTATGGGGAACTTGTAAAGTTCAATCAAGTAGTTGAGGAGATCCACACCTCCCATGAAGCGGTTGTATGTCGCTACAATTCCAGGCTGTGGAACTTGGATGAACTTTTTTTCTTTCTTGTCCCATCTTCGCACAGTTCCGACTAGTTCAGCGGACACATAGTTGGAGACAAGTGTCACGGCTCTATTATCATACCACCTTACAACCGCTATATTCTTTAGATTGTTGACCGCATAATCGAACGCACCACGTCCCTCCTTTTTCGGGTCGTTTTCTGACTTTAGTCGGCAGTCCTTTAGCCGATTTCTTCTGATCGTTCCTACGAACCCCAGACCTCTCTTCGACAACTCAGTCGCAAGATCTAAGCTGGTGAAGTAATTGTCGGCAGCTATTTCTTAACCCTTCTGCTGTGGAAGAAACTCGCACATCCTAAGCGTGACGTCACCACCCAACCCAAACAGGTAGTGTTGTTTCGCTTGGCCTTGGTAGACGTCGAACTGATACAAAAAACCAGACGAGCCAGCGCGACCCCAAAGCTTTATGCCCCAGGGGTTGGGTTTCGCGGGCATGTATTGCTTCATAGGGCACCTCCCAGTGAAGGAAATCATAATTTCGTCCACACTGTTCAGTTCTTCTTGCTCGACTGACTGGAGGTTTTCTTGTAGTGAATTTGACCACGTTCGAATTTTCCAAGCTTTGTCACGTTTTGTGTCTTCTGTGGCTTGATGGTTGTCAGTGAAGTGTATCAGTCTCATCAGCTTCTCAAATCTGTTCCGTGGCATCACATCAGCGACCACGGGAAACCTCGTCCCATTTTCCCAGTAACATCGCACACTGGGCATTTGCACAAGTCCCATCATCAGGTATATCCCGATGTATTGCTCCAGTTCAGCTTCTGTGACGTTCAGTGAATGTCCAGTAGACTGGGTACTGCACAGGTTAGTCTCTTCAGCGAGGGATGTGATCATTTCCGTACTTATAAACTTCCGGAAGTAGGTCAGAGCTGGTTCAATCGTCACTGGCATGGTAAAAGCTTCGCTGAACGTTGGAATGGCACAGTCCAGCAGGTTCCTCCTCCAATGGCCTCTGTCAATGGAGCCTGTGTAGCAGTGTGAGCCGCTGCTAGAGTCCATTTCATCATCGGAAGAGTCATCTCCAGAAGGCTCGGCAGGATCAGGAGGGGTACTTCTAGTGCCTAAAACGTATTCTGTGTCACCATCGTCACTCAAATCTCCAAAGTCACTCTCGTCGCCCGATGGCATGCAGCTGACAATGTCTCGGGGTGACTGGGCTGCAAAAAAATAATTCACAGTTCATTTAGTGGCGCCAAAGTATAATTCGTAGCATATCTGATACGAGCGTCGGTGACTATATCAAATGCCCAAAGTAGCACTCGTGATACGCAAGATATATTATGTTTTCTTTCTCGCCACTTAGATATATACGCAGTTAAAAGTGGTACAGAGGCTTCAGGAACTGTCCTAGCTTACAAAACACACAAAAAAACGATGATCTTACCTTTATTTTTTGAAGATCGGCCGTAGAACGTCCGCGTTCTAATCGCCATACCGTTGCCGCTGGGCTCTGCCATTTTCAAATACGCCGTGAAGCCCCCTCGTGGGCAATACTTGAACTACAAATACGCGAAAACTTGGGAAATATGTATCATCAGCGATACACTGGGCATTGGTTCGTTAAGAATGCAAACCGAAACTTATTTTAATTTGAGAAGTTGTCGTAGCGCGCATGATAAGGTGGGCATTAGAGGGTTAAAATAAATCCAGTTCCGAAATGTTACAAGCTGAAAGCAAATATCAGGAGAAAACTTGCACACACCTTGCGAGCGCACCCCGTGTTCATCGACGGCACAGCGTTAATGTGATGCCCACTCCATTCACAAAATGTTCCGAGCACAGTCGAGAGGATGGTGTTGGGGAAAAGTCTTTTCGATTTAGGGATGCAAGCCACTACTGCCGGAAATCGGGGTCATGTGGAAAGCGATGGAGCTTAAAGACACTGCAGTCGCACTCGCCTTGCCGGATTTCGTGCAAGCTACACAGGCTCTCGGACAGTATTCGACGCTTTCTGTCGTTATTCGTGCACCGTATAACTGAGCAATGGTGTCTTGATGACCGAGGGACTGTTGCCATCCAAGCCCGTGGCTCTAATTAAGTTTGGGAGTTTAAAACAGAGAACAAAACACGAACGAAGTTCGGGCAATGCTTACACTGAACACCGGCAAAGCCTCTCATCTGGGGTTTTCACTGTCTTTAATGCTCCAGCTAGGGGGAAAGCGCCGGTAGCCTTTCCCTTTTTATCTCTCGCACTCTTTTAGTAAAACAGTTTATACACGGTTCTGCTCTGCTTTAACCCCGTTAAACAAACTTGTTACCAAGCACCGGTGCACTGCGGAAAAGCAACACCAGCGGAAGCAAGCTCCACGGGTGTTGCTTCTCCGCTGTGCACCGGTGCTCTGAAAGAAGTGCACTCAACTGTGCTGCGAGAACAAAAAGTATGAATTACACGAAAACATTGTTCGAGTGAAGCTGCTTATGAATACATTGAAAACGTAGCGGGTCAACCAAAGTTTTGAAATTTGTTTGACTTAACCAGAAGTATTAAATATCCGAGTTTGAATTATCGCGAGCCTACTGTATATACTAAGGGAGATCTGGCTCAATCCAATGTGCTTAATATCACTGAATAGTTGTGCGATTTTAATTGGCTAATTTTATTTCTCAAGCACTTGATATGTTCGGTATTCAAATCAATGCAAATTTTTACTTTGGTTCAATTTATGGGGGGTTTATTTTATATGTCATGTTTAGTACGAGCTAGCCTAGTTGGTAAGCACATTGCTCACTTACTTTAACCGTGCATGTCATATACAATTTGTTGCGATTGTGTTTGAATGCAAATCCTCTTCTGCTCTTTATTTCAAGCTGCCCTTACATGCACCATGAAGATACCGAGGAGGTCTTCAATTGAATGACAACTTCAAGCACAAGCATGGAGGGGCATCTAAAGCACAAGGACAACTATAATGTAAATTTTCTCCAAAGTTAAAGCAAGGCATGCCTTCTTCCAATAAAGGTATTGTGACGAAACTTCTTAATTGGTTCGTTTGTTGAGCTGTCATCTATAGGAACAGCTGAGCTCACACAAACAAAATCCTGGCATTGAGAAGTACAGGTTGCGTGCTCTTTCTCTTTTGCAAAACATGAACTTTTTGGCTGAGGATAAAATATTATTCAAGTTCATATGTTAAATGACGGAGCTATGAACTCTCCATACCAATCTACCCCAAAAGCTTCGTGTGACTTAGTCTTGCTTGAATATGGAAGCTTTTTGCCCTAAATAATGAAGCACTTGACCTTTACGTCTTTTTGAACTGGACTCTCCGTAAAAACAAGGCATATAATTTTGTAGAATGGCGAAATGTCTGTGGCCCACATTATGGACAGCTATCCATATGAAATGTGAAAGCTGTCCGCACTAAATAACGAAGGACTATACCTTTCCGAATGATATAAGGCCAAAGCTACGAGTCATCCGCACCAGTCCTGCACCTCTGATACGTCAGGTGACACCCCTGGCAGATCTAGAGCTCTGCCAAATGAGTCGCCTGATGTATCGGAGGTGCAGGTGGTACCGATGGCTCGAGGCTTTGGCCTTATAAGGCGGAAAGGTATAGTCCTTCGGTATTTAGTGCGGACAGCTTTCACATTTCCTACGGATAGCTGTCCGTAATGTGGGCTACAGACGTTCCGTCGTTCTACGAAATTATATGCCTTGTTTTTACGGACGGTCCAGTTTCTAGATTACGGCAAACCATACCGGCAATATTGAACCAGCAACTTTTACCCGTAAAATGGAAAACGGATAGCTGTCTGTAAAGTGAACTACGGACGTTTCGTCATTTTACGAAATTATATGCCTTGTTTTTACAGACAGTCCCGTTTCTAGATTACGGCAAACCATACCGGCAATATTGAACCAGCAACTTTTGCCCGTAAAATGGGGTGAAAACTTTTTACAGTGTAGCGAATAGTCGGACGCCGCGAAGCGGCGTTTTCGGATGGGCCAAGTGAGTTCATATTTTGTAATGAGTTGCCGCAGACTGTCGCCGCGAAGCGGCGTAAAGCGCAGCGCGACGGATGGGTTAACGCGCGCCCCCGTTATTCGCTAAAACGACCATTCGCTCAAATGTCGCCGTTCGCTAAAATGTCATTCGCTCTTGTGATATGGACCCGACCTCATGTGTGTGCTATATTTTATCATGTGCTAGTCGTATATGGCAGCCGTTCCCGGTCGAAACAAGCGCCATCGAATGTACGGGAACGGTGGACCCAATGAAACATTTTAACCAAGCCGGCCAGAAATTTTCATCTGGAGTGTCTCGGCTAGGTAAACGATAGTAGCGGTACGCGATGAAAGTGGGACTGAATTTTTGCATTGTTTGTAAAGGTTCTGTGAAATGCGCTGCAATTTCAAACGCGTACGTTGTGTAATTGGGCTTCGTCCGCTTTCTTCGGTGTCAGTTTCTTGACTCGGCGAACAGACTGGCCATCTGTCAGAAAGAGGTCGCTGTGGAATATCGATTTCATCGAAGCATTCCGGCGGAATCACAAGAGTCGCTTGACACCACTCCGGAAAATCTGCCAAGCAGCTAGTTTCGACAAACCCGATAGTGTGATTTGTGTTTTGTCACATTTGTGTGAGATTTTGGAGAAAATAAATGCTGGTCTGCATTCGTTATCCCCCAACATTTGTTTGTTTTCGGTCTGCTAACCACTACCCCGAATCGTTGTTTTGAAGCGGGTCCAAACCACGGGAACGAAAAGGTACCGACTGGGAATCCGACATACGGTACGTGTAAATACGACGCGGTTGCCGCGAAGACACGCATGCTCAAGGTGGCAGCAGTGGCAGCTCGTCGGGGTGCGCTGGTTGGCCGCGCTGATAAACCAGACAGTGGCGTAGCCAGGTCGTGTTCAAGGGTCGAAACACCTTCGAAATTGCATGGTTTTCCTCTTTCTCCCCCTTTCCCTTTTCCATTGTCAGCTTCTTTTTTTTTCTTTTTTTTCTTGTTTTGTGAAGGCATTAAAAGTCCTATGTGCTTCTCTTTCTGTTCGACAACCCACTACGGCGAGGGGCCGGAACATTCCAAAGCAAAACGAAGATGACAACACTGTCCGTGGACTGCGTGAGCGTGAGAAATAGAAGTCCGGCTCCGGCTTTCCGAAGAGCTCTCGCCAAACTCGACAGTGTTATTAGCAACCTAAGCCTTTCTTCGGGCTCGCAGGTGCGGATGACTCCGCTCCTGACGTCACATAAGCCGCGAAATCCTAACCTCGAAGGACGCTGGCCTCGCCTCGGAGAATGCAGGCGGCTTGACTAAAGTTCCCCTACTCTTTGAGCCTCAAGGACTCCACGCCACTATCAGGGCAGCGAAACAAAATTTCAAAATAGCAATACTTTGACTTTGCAAACCCTACAACCCTACAAACAGGACGACAAAATGACAAACAGCTTAGCTTTCTTTTTTTTTTTTTTTTTTTTTTTGTTGTTGTTCCGTTTTTTATTTGTTTTGGGGGCACACAAAAATGTAAAAAAGAAGAAAAAAAAAGAAGCGGGAGAGAAAAGCGGCAGCATATGCACCGTAGAAGCACTTTGGAATGCTCGTAATTCTTTTGGTTTCAAAGCGTACCGAGGTTACTTATTTAATCGCTGCAGTGGGTAATGTTTATAATCTTGAGTTCAACACGTGAGTCGTGAAAGTTCCCTTACGTATATAGACTCTCAAAAATTAATTCAATAGCCAAAGCTGTCGCTTGACGCTTTTTTAAAGAATGATTATTTACCTACAACTTCAAGCGTGCCATCAACGTCTCCAACAGAATCGGCACATTCACGTCAGGCAGCATCGTCCGCCCTAGGCGAGAGCAATGTCATGGCCAACGACGTCGGTTGCAATGTCGCAATCCTCGGGTTGGGCCAATCACCAGCCTGTGCGGAGCATTCGTTTCATTAAACAAACTGTCTGAGGAAGTTCTGGTTTGGACACAGATGTGAAGGGACCGCACCGCTTAGCGCGTGTCGCCGGTAGAGACAACTTGCCTTGGTCCCCAGGTCCCCAGGTCTCGTATTCTAATGTCAACCGCCTGCTGCAAATCCTGGCCACCATGCCCGTTAGCGTCGTTGAGGCGGAACGTTCGGTCTCGAGACTCCGAAGACGGAAGCCATACCTGAGAGCTTCAACGTCCCCGGAGCGCTTGCTGCTCCGTTCTTAGCTCAGACCAGAAGCTCCGCCTTCAGCACGAGCTCGCTGGCTTCCGCTGTGCTTTGTTTGCGCGCGCCTGCGCGTTCAGACTTGTGCCAGCAAGGGCAGAAAGCTCGCGCTGAAGGCGGAGCCTCTAATCTCAGCTAAGGGTGAACGGAGTATAGGGGTTGCGCTTTTGAACATTCACGGGAACATCCAAGACAGCTCCGAAAGGGTCCTCTCGCTGCTTTCGATCGACCGACCGCGGCTTCCACTAAATGTTTAGACCCCACAAAACGATAGAAACTGGTACTTTTCTCTGCCACTTT